GTGAGGACGCAATAAGCTTTAAAAACTTCTACCTCTGCTGAGATCCTGTGATTAGCCACCTTCCTGTTCTTTATTTTTAACCTTGGTTTAGATATACCCACAGGGTAACCAACAGGACTCCACACCCTGCTCCAGTAACTCCATTACAAGCAGTCAACCCATGTTTTAGACAAAGTTAAGTCCCTCTATCTTCCAGAGTATCCCATAGGAAGGCCATTTTTTTTTCAAGGAATGAGAATTATTCCTTTCCTTCTGTATACTCTAAACAAAAATTTCTTGCCAAGAACGTTGAGGTTCTATGACGTAGGATAACTTGGCAGAATGGCACAAGGCTTATGTTTTCTCATTAGGAACAGCAGGCTGTAGGATCACAAATGAAGATGGCATTAGTGCAAAGCCAACCTGAGAACCAGCTCCAAACCTTCACCCTGAGGGGTGAGTTTAAGTTACAACCACGAAGCTGATGTTAAGAGCAGGACAGGAGAAGCAGGGCAGAAGTGTGACCCCCTCCTTCAGGGGAGCAACTCCACTCCAGCCATGGCTGCTCCCTGGGTGATTTTATCACAATATTTGATGTTTTCTAAAACACCTTACCTCCTGGGACCCTGTAAATCTCAAATCTCCTAAAGGAGGAAAAAAGGTTTTCTGGCACTTGCATTTCCAGAGCATGATTATTTATTAGTAAAATGAAAAAAACCCACTCTCACTTAATGAGAGGGAAACACAAAGGGAGAAAGTACTCAGCTCCTCAGCCATGTCAAAAGAACTGCACACATCACCTCCCTACCAAAGCTAAACCTAAAGCTGAATGATACGTGATGCCATTTCTCCAAAAAAACCCCAAATCTCCAAATTGAGGAGGATGAAAACCAGTCTTCTGAGGAATTCTGTCCCATCAGCCAACTTTAAGTGCTGAGGGCATGGGACTGGCGCTCGAAACACGCACCAAACCCACACCATACCTGCCATCAGAAGAATGCTGAAGTTCAGCAGCACTGGCAACCTCTTCCTCTATGGAAAGACATATCAGCAGTTTTCACTAATGAATCCAAACACAAAACTCGAGATCTTTCCATACATCCAGCTTCCTTCCAGTGCAGTATCCGAAGGGAGTTAAACACAATGCACAAGAGGCAGGCATGTAAAATTCAACGTTTAAAAGGCCAATACAGTAGCACAACATGTCAGGAACCACTGCTGAGCACCAGATGTCTCCTCACCGTGCGAATGTGCTGAAACACTTCCCTCCAAGATTCAGAGTACATGATAATTTATGGAAGTCGGGGAGCTCTCCCTGCAATTTTGGAGTAGAACGATAAATTTGGCCGCAGGAACTGACAGGACGATATCTTTGGAGATGGAAGCGCCATGTTCCCAGCTGTACTCCAGGCTGGAATACTTTCCAGTGGTTCCCTCTTTCCTTGTCATAGAGTCCTTTTTGAGGGTGGTATAGCTGATTTTCCCACAAAGGTCCATTGTCAAGAAGGCAGGGCATTGGCTAGAAACAATGAGAAAAATCCTGGTCTTGTTGTTTAACAGCAGGAGTAAAATCCACTAGCAAACTTTGACTTGCAAGGCAGCAAACACATGGGTTCTGGTTGATTATTCTAGAGTCTTTCATAATAGTATAATATTTTTTCAGAGCACTGTGAAAAACATTACTGACCAACAGGGTTTCTTAATTAGCTAAACCAAACCAGTTGGCTCCCCCAGTTTTGTCTTCTTGAAAGAAAAAAACATATTCACTGCATTGAACTCAACAACAGAGAGTCTTTAAAGTGTGGATAAACTCTCACTATAATGTAGGAAAACCTTTTTAAAAAGTTGTTAACTGGCATTTCTGAGCTTTGTCCTGGAGATGGGCGTAATTAAATTATTCATGCACCAAGAGTATATGAGGCATATAAAAAAAGGCTTTAATCCACTTACTGGTTTAACCAAGAGGAAAAATAGGAGGAAAGCCTGTAATTGTTCCAGATAAATGGGCTATATGATTGCTCTGTGAAAACCAGCATGAACTTCTGGACGCTTATGCATGGGAATAAATATCAGCATTTGGCCCCAACATACAAGAAATCAAACAATCATCCACTTGAATCTTTCTTAGATACAGTGAAGAATGACCACGTCAGCCCTTCCTTCAACTCACCTGTTCTTTGAAAAATTTGTCGAAGAAAAATACTCATTGTGACTGTGATATTTATATTACATATGGATACAGTCAAATTGAGTGCAATTTCATGCTCACCCTGCTTGTAATAATTTGCATTCTTCCCAGTGTAGTTTTGTAATTCATGAGCTGTGTGAGCATCGGTCTTTTTTTGTAGACCTTCTTCACTGCTGTATGGAGCTCACAGGAATTTTTATTCCAATCTCTGCAAATGAAAAATTATTTCATTCCAGACCCAAACACATTTTTTATTCCCAAGAAGATGATTAGATGATTTATTATCTTTGGACACAACATCTGGATCCCTTTCTATTTTATTTGGCAGATGTGTAAAGACTTCTCCATTGTTTTTAATATTAGTGTAGCAATCAAGCAAGACTATGCACACCATCCTGATACAGTAGTATCCCCAGTGAGCATCATTCCTCCAGAGAAGCTCCCAAAACATTCTGTCCAGGATGCTCAGGAACCCCTATTGACACTTGTCAGACTTATGTTTTTGGGTTGCAACACGTCGATCTTGCAATGCTTTCCAGCTTTACAAAGCTTAAACTTTTATTTTATTTCATTTTTCTTTATTTTGGCTGTTTGGATGTAATTTTGAAGTAAAGATTCTCATGTAATGCTGTTTTCTGAGATGAGACCTTCTTCTTAGCAGCAGTAGAGCAATAATGAGAGACACATTTTCCCTCACCAAGGTCTCAGACAACAGCTCATCTGCCTTCCCCGCTATACCAGGAACAGAACAAGTGCTGACATTTTCTTCAAAGAACTGATCATGAAATCTGCTTTTGATAGAATTTCTTGGTGTGTTTCCAGAGCCATACAAAGACAGAACTGTGTGTGTTACATTCACTGCGGCCCCAAATGCCAGAAAAGCGAGGAAGGGTGAAATGTTGACTGCAAACAACCGACAGCAGGATTCCTACCGGCTTCCTGGGAGCTCCAAATATGTAAACCCATGGTCACAATAAAAGGGTGGGATGTTTAGGTAATGGCATTTTATAAATTATTGCCACAAAAATAGAGACTGGCCCTGTATCACCATGACAAGTCATCTTCTGGAAAATTTACAATCCACGTGAAGACTTAACCAGTGCCCTAATTTGGTAGTAGTACAAGAACTGAAACACCCTTCAAATTCATTCAGCAAAGCCAGCTCTCTTTCTCCCTTGGCTTAAGGGCCTCCTACAGTATTCTGTAGAGGGGATCAGCCAGGAAGAGCTTCTTTTTAAATGTAGAGAGATGTGAATCACTTTGGCTTTTGAGAGGACAAAATATTTTAACTTGAGGAAAGAGAATGAATGCCATTGATTTGACATCTGATAGTGATTTATACCTATTCATACAGACTCGTTAACAAATCTGGAAAAAAAAGAGATACATTTGTAGCATTTTGTTGATAATCATATTTTTAGGATCTGTTTATTGATAAACAGATATCTCACCTTTCTCCTAGTGTTTGCTGTCAAACGGTTTAAAAAAGTCATCAGAAAAGAAGTAGAATAGTTTGTTTACTCAGTAATACGTTCTTTGTGCATTGGATTATCCTTGCTGGACAATGGAAAGCATCTAAAAAATGCTGGTTTTGTAAGTCTGAAATGAGAGGAATTACAGGCAATATAAACAAACGTGAATCTCTGACGCACATTAAAACTTACAATTACACAGCGTGTAAGACAGGGATAAAACACGGGTACCACGTCCATCACAGAAAATTATTGCTATAGGAATATTATATTATTGTTATACCTATAGGAAAATAATAATCATTATCACAAGCAAGTCCTCTCACTGAAAGGTGACACAAACACAAAGCTTGAGCCACTCAGCAAATACAAAAGTAGAGAGAACAACTTGGGTGGTTTCCCTGTGACTGTTCAACTGTTCAAATATGACCCTAGTTCAGCAGCAGGATCAGTTTTATGTAGGCTTAAAAATTAACGAAGACGACTTACATGATGCTAGCAGATGAGCCTTCCTGAAGTCCCAGAAGAACGATATTCTTGGACAGATCACAGAAAAGAAAATATTTATTTTGTCAGTTCCTGCAAGCACATTGAATTGAAAGGCTGAGAGAAATGGGATTATTCCACCCTGGAGAAGAGAACACAGAGGGGAAGAGGGTCTAGAGTGCTGTAAGGGAGTTTTAGTGTGGAAAGGAATTAGGTTCTTTAAGGTCATGTCTGCATGGATAATTTCAGACCGTCAGGAATTAACACTCCCATTTACTGAGCTGGCAGGACATGATGCACTTTTAATCAGAAGCCAATGTAAAGATGCCCCAAAAATCTCAAAATCTCAAAATACTAATGTGATCTCAGCCTTTGGAATGACAGCTGCTGCTTTTCCTTTGTTCTGCCACTTCATGACGGAGTGAAGGAATTCGATGCTTCAGGTGTAATTACAGGGGTAATTTGCCAATGAGATTCTTACAGCCAGGCAAAAATTCAAATATTCCCATATCTTCAGTATAGGCAGTATACAAAAAAACATGTGGCAAATGATTCCCTCATTGTGAAGGACCTGTACACAGATAGAGCCAATCTAGAATCCTGCAATGGAAGCAGATGGGGAGCCAACAGAAACCTACAGAAATGTAACACAAATGTGTAGGACTGTATGATATCACAATATTCAGTATTGACAGTGTAAACTGTTAGCTACAAATCACACTGTTCTGTTCTACAGTTTCAAGGAGAAGTGTTAAAATAGCATGGGCCCAACTGACACCAATGAAAGAAATATTTTATACCCTGGACCTTCTGTTACCTTGCCTTTCAGGTCACTTCTGATACACTAATGCACAAAATTGATTCTTTAAACCATGTCTTTACATAACAAGATTTATGGTTTATTCCTAATATAAAGTACACAATCATATAATGTACATTATTTGAGCTTTGGTGATCTAGTTCTTGCATTTTTATTCTAAAGATTAGTTCCAGGGTTTCTTGTTCTTCCCATTGTAGTCTTGCCAAAATAGTAACACTGCCAGCCAGACCTCAGTAGCAGATAGTTCTACCCTGTAGACCTTGAACATGTTATTTTATCTTATATGTCATTCTTCAGTCTGTATGCAGGAATAGAAAAAGAATAAAATAAAATTGTGATGTCACCTTCTAGGAGCTAGACTGGGTTTTGCAAACTTCCCAGTTTTAAACTGAAAGGGAGTAGGTCAAGATTAGATATTGGAAAGAAATTCTTCCCTGTGAGGGTGGGCAGGCCCTGGCACAGGTTGCCCAGAGAAGCTGTGGCTGCCCCATCCCTGGCAGTGTCCAAGGCCAGGTTGGATGGGGCTCTGAGCAACCTGGGCTGGTGGAAGGTGTCCCTGCCCATGGCAGGGGTTGGAATTGTACGATTTTTAATGTCCCTTCCAACCCAACCCACTCCTTGATTTTACGATTCCTGTATTATCCTATGGTTATACAGAAATACTGAAAAATAAAGCCAAGCTTTAAAGGCTTGGATGCAATGGGGGGAAGGTGGAAGTTATTGGATGCTCCAGAGCTTGCAGACTGGATAGGTCTGTGTGTGCTGTATAACTGAATTTCTCCTCTGAGACCTGGAGTTTGAAATGTAACTCGAGCTCCAAATACGATCTTTTATGTCTGTGGTCTAGGGTGCAATTTTGCTTGCAGGGAACAGGGGAAGACTAAAGGACTAAAACTGTCAAAGGTAAGAAAGAAATACCTACAGCTCTCTGTGACAATCTGAGCTGAGATCAAACAACCTGATGTTCCAATGGGAAAGATACACCGTAGCTGCCAGCAAAATTTTACTACTCCAAAAAGTGCTTTTACATATTGTGTCGAGTCAGAATACAAACCTCTTTATTAGGAGAATGCTGATAGACTCCTAGGCCTCTGGTTTAGAGGGGAACACTTTGATATCTTTGGTGAAAAGGAGTAGTACCTCTTGTCCAGGCCTAGAAGTAAAACCAAGTTCATCTAGGAATGTGCTCATGCCACGTTTCCACACCTATTGTGAGACAGCACTAGACAATCTACTCAATTTGATACTGCCACTACATTACCAAAAGAATCCACGTGTACATCTGTGTCATCTTTGGTGCAGTTGACAAAGACAGGAATTTCACTGGCTTAGGAATGATAAATAAGCAGATGAATCGTTAACACTTTTTTTTTTTTTTGTCTGCCAAAAAAATAGGAATTGATCAGTCAGTCAAGAAGTATCAAAAATAAGACTGGATTTTCATCAGTTTGCAGGGTATCTTTGTGTATGCAGAAGACAAAACCTTTGGCTTTGACTACAAAAATGAAGCGCAGAAAAAGATTTAAATAAAATCCTAAACTTTCTGCACTACATATTTCATAATTGCAAAATACTTTATGCAACCATTCGGTGTTTTCTTACTGCTCTAAGAGAGCAGTTCATGAAAATGGACTGCTGGTGCAAAAAACCAGCTAAACAAAAAACCCCCACAGTACTGCTGAACAACAACAACCACACTAAAATAACACCAGTGAGTCCCCCACTGAATCACAAGCTCACCATAAGAGAGATCACTCTCAGTTTATTTACACACCTAAGCATGAACACTTATTTTCCCTTATTTCATTCAGCATTATTTTAAAACTAAGGCCCCGAGTCTACAATCAACAGGCACAGAAATTCCACTCCATCTGCTGTTAGCAAGGCCAGAGGGACCTGTGACCCGATCCAAAGTCCAGCAATGTCTGTGGGGAGCTTCCCTGCTCCCTCCATGCACTCAGAAAGGGCATCTGAGGTCAGCAAGCTGCACACTCCTTGTTCTGTCAGAAATTCCACCGAGGCAGAGCAGTATCAGTCTCCACATAATTACATACATCTTCTTCCTGAAACTGAGGTCAGTGGCATTAATCGTAATTTCACGAGAAAATGACTTTTGCATACTGTACACTGGCCATGGCAGTGTTTTGCACTACTCTAAAAAGATGCACTCTTTAGTTTTTAAGTTTTTCTGTTACTAGAGCTGGAGTTTTTTATAAATGACTAAAGAAATGCCTGACAACACTCTTATGTTTCAGCATTGATTCCTCTGTTATACATCAAAAATAGTAAGAAATAATAAGCTTCTCAGGCTCACCTGAGGCAATGGACTTGGGTGTATACTGTGGAAATAGAGATGGATTAATATCAATAATTGAATAAGTTTGTCTTAATTTTTAAAATATAAAAAATAACGATGAATCACATAAAGACAAGATGCCAAATTTAAAACCAGACATAACAGGGAAATATTTTCATCAGTGCTACAAGTTAGCTAGCACTTCAACCATGGGTTACTAGAAAATATAACAAAATCATTAAAAAAAGACAATTTTTTTTCGCATGGATTTTTTTTCCCCTTCCATATTCGCAGTCTGATAACAGCAGTAAAATAAATAAATAAATAAAAGTAGATCACCCACAAACATTTCTATCAAGCGCAGCTTCAGATCAATCTTGAATCAATAATGAAATCCCAAATGATTAGAATGTATCCATCACTGGCTGAATTGAGATTTGCAGCTTCACAGATCACACTGTACCAGGGGTACCGGGAATTTCAGTCTCTGTTTTCCTCTGTGCTTGGCTCTTCCTTTAATAAAACATTTAACTGTTTCTGTGCACATGAAAGGAAAAGTTCCAAACTATGCAGATTTCTCTGACGGACAACTTGATCAAGCTGTAGAAATAATGAAAAAAAAAAAAAAAAAAAAGACAGATCAACTTTAAAAAAGCTGGAGAGAAATGCCAGGGTTTGTCAGCAAAAATTCAACCACATTAAACAACAAAAATTCAACAACCAAATGTGACAAGAGCAAAAGAACCTGAGTAATTTCAATGCACTCAATTTAGTAATAACTTCTCAACAAAGTATTTGAATGTCTTCAAAATAAAATGTACATAAGGCTAAGAGTATCTCTAAAGCTGTCAAAGTCTGCACAAGATGTTTAAGAATTCTAAACAGCCCAGCTGCCACACTGGGAAAATCCCCCCAGAATCTTTTAAAATTACAGCTGCTGCCTTTACAAAAGATACCGCTTTTGCTTATGGGCACTACTTACAACTGCATATTCAAAACTTCAAAGCCCACTGTTAATTTAAATGGCAGCGTGTTTAAATAGTTCCCAGAGGAAAAGTCGAAATACTTTCTGCCCACTTTGTTTACTCCTACATTTTACTGGGGTTCCCTACTGTCAAACAATGTGAACTATACACTTATTTGCAGTAAAGACAGTGGCCCTTTCTTCCCCACCAAAAAAAGATAAGAACACCACAACAAGGCTCAGTAGGTTGTATCATATACATGACACAAAAATAAGGTTTACTGAAAAGCATTTGAACTTTCTTAATATCATAATATTAACAGATAAAACACACTGCAGAATTCCTTCCATTTGAATTTTGAAGTCCAAATGTCACAACTGAGTGACGTTTTCAACTTGACTATCCTTAAATTCCACCAAAGACATGCATAACAGTGACACAGGGGGAGACTGAAAGGTAACACAACTTAAAAGTGTAAGACAACTAAAAGTGTAACACAGAAGTTATGCCACTGGAGAGAAAGGAAGTAGTGGAATTTTGAAGAAGTCCAGCCCTTCTGTCAGCCCTGCTGTACACAAGTCCACATGCAATGTCTTGACTGATGGTAAATGGATATGCTTTTCAAATATTGTGCCTCTTGCACCTCACACTCACAGCTTTAATTACAGCTTTCAACAAAAACTGAGCCTGTGGTATCGCTCTGCACGTATCTGCTTTTCAATCAGCAGTCCAGTTAGCTGCTCTAACAATCACTTGAATGGACATTTCATTTTATTACAGACTAATTTTTTTTTCCACATCGACACAGAATGCAAGGCAGAGTTAGGATAGCTTCCCACCTCACTTTGAAAATGCACTCAGGATAAAGCAGGGACACCTTTTAGCAGACCAGGCTGCTCAGAGCCCCATCCAACCTGGTCTGCTTGGGCTTCTACAAATCTCCAGCTGCTGTTCAAACTTCTGCACCTCAGTCAAAGCAGGCATTAGTGAACCATGCACAGCCTGATGTGAACCTTGCCCCCTGATTTACAAGAGATTTTAAAGCGGATCCAGTTCAATTAAATTTCAGAAAAGTCTGCTCATGATATATTCAAGTAACAGCTGCTACTGACAGGAAAATGGAAGAAACAGCAAACTGACCTCTAAAAAAGCTGCATCTAGAACGGGCAGTCTGGAACAAATGAACAAAATAAACCCACTGTGCATTTCCTCTGATTTGAATCTTGTCTCCTTCCTATTTTCCGGTCCAAAACATTCAGAACATTTTGCTTGGGGAAGTCTGAAGATGTTTTTGTGCCTGTGATCTACACCTCTTTGGGGAATGGGCAGATACAGTGCAATTCACATATCATCATCTGTTATGTCTTAAAACATGAGAAACCTCTTTCTGTACACATATTATGTCATCAGATTCTCTTGCTTCTGGTATATCAGCTGGAGTAGCTTAGAAACTGAAATTCATTGGCTTCCTTTTATTGCTTTATTATATCATCTATACTCCTAGATTTCTACTCTATTTTCTACTCTTCATTGAGCTTAGACCAAGAGCTTTGGCTTCATTTCCTTCTCTTGCAGCCCTTCCTTGCAAATTCTGCTTTAAAGACATCAAAGTAGCTCACCAGACGTGTGTTCTGATTTGCTGCTGTTAACTCTCTTTACCAAGGCAGCAATCTCAAATTGTTTACAATTAAATTTATTTCACCAAGTACTAATGTAAATGTTTAATGTGTGGAGTGATTGGCTGCAGCACGAACAAACCAGAATTTCTTCAGGCTTGAGCAAGATTTTAAGAGTCTCAAATGAACTAAGTGCACATTTGGGAAGTCTTTGTTGAACTCAAGTGGTTAGTTGGTAGTCTCCATTTGTGCATAAGGGAAATTTATTGCTTGTTAAAAGTTTATGTAAATTCAATAACATAAAACTTCACAATTCAGTTCCCCCTTGTTTGCTCAGTTTATGAATAAGCTTTGCCTTGAGCAGGACCTTTTAAAAATCTTCCATGCTACAGCAAATGACAAAACAATCCAAAAGGACTTTGGATCTTCACATAGCACAAAACGAGAAACAACAAAATTATGCTGGCTTTGAAAATGGTACATTTGAATGCATTCAAAAGGAGAATATTCTCATTAACGGAGAAATTGGCTTGGCTGGGAAATAGAAACAAGTCCAATGAAGCTTTGTTATATAATATATTGTTTAATGAACTGTTAGCAAAGGACACAGTTTTTTTTGAAAAGTTCCTCAACGTTGCTGTGCTCCTGCTTGCATAATACACCATAAGATGCGAAAATATGTAAGCAAAGCATTTGAAATCTCATTTTTCCAAACAGTCTTCCCTCTGTATTTTTAGGTTCTGTTTACCTCATGGAATGACCTCATTATTTAAACAAACATAAACGGACATCTGGCAAATTCAAGCTGAATGTGACTCATATGCAAATGTGACCAGTGTGAACAACGTGTTTGGGATGGAGCATTCACACAACCAAACCCAACCCAGCTGCTCCACTTCTATACATACCGAGAAATACAGAAATGCTGGTTCAGGTCTACCAAGAGAGGGCATTTTTTTTGACATCCCACCCTCAGTGTTGCTATTACCCATCAGTGTTTCTCTTCCACCATATGAAATCCATTAGTTTAAAGTTCCCCATTCATTAGGCTGTGTCCTACTAGCACGGCTTTAATTAGCTCAAAGTTTTAATGGTCCTGAACTTCATTATTTTAAGTTACTCAACAGTATCTTTTTAACTCTGTACACATTGTTGGTTTTTTTCTCTTCAGAACCAGAGGCTGACTCTCTAGGCCCTTGTATGGATCCTACTGAGAAACTGGCTATGAAAGATTGGGAAAAGCACATGCACATCCTCCATACCTTCTGCTCACAACATCTACCTGCAAATAGGTATGCTTTTGTGGCATAAATGCTCATCTTCCTCTACTGAATATTCACCAACCCTGTAAATATTTCAAATTTCTAGAAGAGAAGCTCAGTCAGAACTCTATAAATTATGTCAGAATTATATTATCCATTTCTAGGAACTAATCAAACATCACATGGGAAATATAATTTTAGGTTTAGCACTGCAGGTTTAAGGATGAAATCCCGATCTCAACGTTGCAAAGATATATTTCACTATTAATTTCACTGGGACCTGAAGTTCACCCAGAAAAGTGGAGAAAGCAAAATTAATGTTACATATGTATTCTATAATTCTATAATTTTCCCTTTTGTATAAACATGTTTAAAAGTGTATTTTTCAAAACTGTATTTCAGATAATACCATTTTCCAATACCAAATGTATTTGCAGCTGTAGAAATAGTAGCTGAAAAATTTACCTGTACTTCAAATGCCCACCTGAGGATTAAATGCAGCTCAGCTCACTTCTCTGGCTCTGTGATATGAACAGGAGTAAAAATTGCAATCTTACTTTTTATCATGAAATTCAACACACACAATGACCAGAGATTAAAAAAGGGCAAAGATGCTGAGGAAAAAAAAAAAAGCTCCTAATTTTACTTTTCTTACTGGTATTTTCATAGCTGATCTCACATAAGTAGACTGTAAAACAAATAAAAAATAATCATGCCACTATAACTTAGTGAAGCAGAGCAGTTTCCCTAAGATCGTAAAACAAGAAATAAGTTTTTGAGTCCTGATAATTTCTCAGGAAATACACTAAGTACATCAAGAGAACACTTTAGCAGTGACATATATGTTTATATTTGTCATATAAAGGGGAGGGCCAATGGGAGAAGACTTAAAAATCCTCAAAAGCATCCTTGTCACTCAGAGAAAATCATGCAAAGGCAGGAAATTTCAGATGCAAAATGAATGTTTTGGGGAATTGAAAACACAGAGAGAATGGGTTCTGAAGATAGAGTTAAGCAGGTCCAGGTTAGTAAGCCTGATATAAAGGCTTTCCATTTTCTTTTCCATTTACTGTTTACAAGTAGCTACTTGTTGGCTGTTGAATAGGGAGTTCTTTGAAGCTGAATATTGATTAGCCACAGGCTATTATTTAAAGACATTGTCCTGGCATACTTCCATTTTTCTCAAAGGACTCATGGTATAAGCAAACCTACAGATTTCCTGTCCCCTATCTAAGGAATGTTCAGTAGAAAGGGGACATTTTAACACTGTGGGTAAAAGCAGTTGAACCTTTGTTGTTATATTTGTTAAATTTTGTCTTAGTTTATTTAGTCCTAATTTCTCTATGTATTTTTATTATTGATAAATATACAAAAGCTGTGTCTATTTGCTGTTTGCAAACTAACTGTAATGTCTATTTCTCATTTTACATGCTTTTGTATTAGATGAATTTACTAACTAAAAAAACTTTTATAGAAAGTAAATATAAATTGAAGAGTGATAACAAACACACCTCAGATTATGATTTTTTTAATAATGTCTAAAAACATCTTTGCAGAAAACTAATATAAGCCTAAACTAACAATAAAGTGAACTTACATTCTTCCATGAAAAGACTCCAGAATAATTTTTCATTTTATTCTGTGGTTCTAACTTAGCACTGTTTGATCATCACTTGGATGGATGTGTCCATGGAGAGGAGAACACTGGACAAAAGCACTGATGATGACAAACTGCTTTCCTAAATGTACTTAATTGTTAAGGACTAGAGGAACAAATCCAAGTCTCTTTGAAATCACTGGGATCAGGAATATGTGCTAGTTAAGCAGAAGGAAGAAACTATTCTGATGCTTGATTTGTTCATGCACATAAGTAATTTACTAAAAAATTCTGTCAGTGGCACTGGCAGGGAATCATTCCACAGAGCCAATAAGAATTTGAAAACATCCTGAGCTGCTCGTGGAACAATCAGTCCAGATGTAACAGCACTGCTTGTTTAGAGTCAACCATTGGTGTTGCAAGAGAATTTGCCTTTAGGTATTTCTGTTTAGCCTAATTACACGTATATTGTAACAATACGTAATTTTTAAAAATCATCTTAGCATCACTTTGCATTATAAAATACAGTTATGGTCCTTCTAAACAATGGTCTGAACTTCAGTGCTAAGTGAATAAATGCCTGCAATTTAAATCTGTGGCATTTTCTAAACATCCTTAGAGAGAATTTATTTTGGAAAAATCATGGCTTTCCTTGTATTATTAAAACCTTAAATTTTGTAGACTCCTTGTGCCCCAATTCACGGTGTGAGCTGTACTGGATATTGGCCAAAACACCCCAGTGTTCAGCACAACATTACAGTGTAATTACACACTCATAGATGTGTAATGAGACAATGTGTAATAAGACATCTACCAATCACACCTTGATTGGTAGATGTCCCTGTTTGAGGAAAATCCAAGGACAAGGGGTTTGTTTGGTACATTTTTTATGATATATGGATAGGATTTGTTGGGTTTTATTTCCCCCCTAATTAAACCACACTAGTGAATCACACTAGTGATCCTGACATGATCCTGAAATGTTCTTTAGTTGCAAAAGTTCAGCTACATGATTGTATTTTCTAGTAAAAGTACGGGCCCAGAACTCTTTCCCAACGCACTAATGTGAACTTCTCCCCACAGAGTCAACAGAAGGCCTTAAAAAAATTCCCTAGCACATTAAGTAGACCATATAAAAAAATTATTACCTTGAGGAACCTGCAAATCTGAGAGCTGGATGAGGAAACAATGAACTACTTCCTCTCATTTCTGTAATGGATGAGAAGGAAAACAGATCCATATGGTACATATGTGGAGCAGAGCTTATTTTAGAGTTAATCCCAGGACAGGACATTTTTGTCTGTCCACCTGTGAATTTCTACTATTGATAACACTTACTAAGTACATAAAAACAAGGTTCTTCGTGGCTGTAATTTATGCAGTATCTGCTACACATTAGAAAGTCATCAGTGTTCAGGACAACCTCCAGGAAAGAGTGATGTTTCATAAATTATATTGCCATGTGAAAATGTTTTTTTTCTCTTTAAATAAATAATGCTGCAACTTCTAAACCTTAAGGATTTTATGCTCTGAACTTGATCATTAAAATAATACCATATGTTGGACACATCTTTAAAACATATTTCCCTGGTTTCTGAAGGTGGTGGGAAAACACCCTGTCAACCCACTCAGAATCTCCAGTCTCCCAGCTGGACACATGAGTGTAAGAAAATACCAACTTTCTTTCCCATAAATAAGAGAAGGAAATTTGCTTTCAATCAAGGAAATTAGACTGAGTGCATGAAGGACTAAAAATGGTCGCAGCACCTGCTCAGACTACTGGAGAAGGTGAAAAATAGGCACTTTCTAAGCCCACAGAAATAATAATAATAATGGAAATATTTATGTGCATTAACACATGAGCGATGTTGGGAGTGAACTACCTGCTTAACAGATTATGAACATGGGGTTCCCTGACCAAATTATTTACAGACCATCACCACACACTAAAAATACAGAGTTACTGAAATTGCTACTATATTGGTCTAGCAATCTGATCGTCCTGGTTTCAAGACGCAGATTTCAAGATTCCTCAGAAACACACAGAAATATATGAGAACAGCATCCCTAAAACTTCTGAATGATAAATGGTGAGTGTTTGGCCCTGGCAAAGGTCTGTACAGCTTGTGAGACACAGTAGATTACGGTCTCCACGAGGCAGGCACAAGGAGGAGACAAATCACAACGTGGCCAAATTCATCAGACCAGCTCCTCTGAGATGGGAGAAAGAACTAGAAATATACACCAGCACCTAAATAAAGGATGTGTAAGTGCTTTCTATCCAGGCTTGTCAGACCCCCTGTGCTCACAGAGCATGGAAATTCTCAAGAGTTTTCTGTTAATCTCCAACTCTTTTTTAAGTACCCAAGTCAGTCTTGGGCACCCTCGCATGTTGTTTTAATATGGCTACAAATGACTTGGCAGAGATTACACAGGGCCTCTGTGGAGCTTCCTAACCACAAATTACCATCTCTCCAGGAAAATGCCTGAAGACTATCAGACTATGCTTCCTGAAAAGCCCTGAGTGCAGGGCTGGGTGATAGATTTGGTAGTAAAGATTTGCTTAATTTGTAAGCATGCATAAATGTTCCAAACTAATCCAGGGTAACCATGCTTGGTTAAAAGCAAGAGCAATCCTCCTACATGTAAGAATCCCTATTGTTATCAAACCAAATAAAAAATTTTTATCTGATGGGCTCATGTTGAGTCATGCTCACAGAACTGCCTCACAGCACCAAGATGATATCTGCAGAACTGGATTAATTAAGCCTAACTGAAAAGCCAACAGCAAATACAGGCATTAATAAGAACAATTTTTTTTATTACTGTGAGAATGTGTTTTGCATTCTTGGGGGGATAAGCACGTAAAAGAGAAGCAATCATTGCATCAAAAGTGTTTTGCAGTGTACACAAAGTGAAAAAACCTACTCTAATAACGTGCATGACTGTGAAACCACAGGGGAAACCTTTCCACAGCTGTGTGACTGCTATTCCATTGCCACGAGTGCTTTCTGATTCTGCATTAAAAGGGGGTTCACCAGGAGCACAACTTCCTTGCCTCCAAGAAGTACAACAGATGGTTAATAACACACATCACAGAGAATCACTGCTTCAGGCTGGGAGCCGTAAAACCAGTGTTAGAAAGAAAGTTCAAACCACAAACAACACAGTAAGTCAGACTACATTTAAGTCTACTTAGACATCAAGGAGATTGGAGTTGTACCATCTGAAGGTTCCTGTGACACTGTGACACTACATGTCACTGGCTGTCCCTAAAGCAAAGTGTCCCCTAATAACACTCTGTAGTTTGGTACACACCGAGGTAGCATGAGAAAAACCCCACCTCTTGGTTTTGAGCATCACTGGATTTTAACAGCCAGATTTTCATTTTAATGGAACTTCAATTTTTAAGATGCGACAGGGTGAAACAGTGTATTCCTGAAGGCACAGGCAAAGATGATACCACATGAAATACAGGTATCTTTCTAAAATTACCATTGCAGATTAAAGTTGATGGATACACAGAAGAAACTACACAAGGAAAATCAGCCTGCAGTGAAACTGTGATAAAATTAACATTAAGTCCGTGGCAAGCATATAAATGAATTAGGGTTTGTAATTAAGCATTAAGGTTCAGGGAACACAAAACTAATTTTCTGCCATTCAGACAGAAACTTTTGAGACCACACTTAGTACTGGACTTCTTCAGTACTGAGAAGATGGAAGCTTTTGATAATGCTTTTTTACTCACACACAGTCACATTTCAGTGGAAAGCTCAGTTCGGAATTTGAAGCCAAACTAATGCAGCAAAATGCAGGACAGCTGCTGGAGAGGCACTTCACAGAGCTGCAGCTGCAACAATGTCATCAAAGACAGGACCTCCTTCTTCCAAAACAGACCCAGATTGAGCACCCACAGCTCTCAGCAGGTCATCACTTACACCACCACAAGCAGAAGATTCTCAAGGAGGAGGACAAAAATCACCAGCAGAACATAACAGTCTGCAGGCTTTGTGCTCCACACAACTCCAAATCCCTTTTGCAGCCATCAGCCAGCGGAGACTTCTCAACAGCACAGTCGTAGTGTATTATTACCCAAAGCACTTTGGTTACCAGACTGGCTGCTCTGCTGCTCTTCCAGAGGCAGATCTGTATTAAGAGGCTTTGGAGTGAAATAACATCATCAAGGACGCACAGCCACAAATAGATGAGCAGTTTTTTAACTCACCAATACCTTATTTTATATTTAATAAAATAAAAAAAAAAAAAAAGGACAAGAAACTGTTGCTGAGCAGGGTGGGGTGGGGGAAAGGGCAAGGGAGGGAAAAAATACACTTCACCACAATAATAAAAATATGAGTCAGTAGCCTGCAGCCAAAGTAGAAAAAAACCCCCATATATACATATTAACTATATCTACAAGTCATTGAAGCATCTTGCTACATTTCTAACACATGGGTAAAGACTTGAATAAAAAAAGTAAACAGGAAACCACATCATTTTGCTTCACCTCTCTAATCTTACTATTGCTGTAGGTAAGAAAATTTACTTTACATATTTTTCAAGTGTCACAGACAACTTGATTAAGTCTCAAATTTTGATCCCACTGGGTTTGCTGTGGGAATCCAATTGCAGGAAATAATCAGAGGAAAGATTCATCAAAACACATATGGTAAGGCCAGCTTTCCCATTTACTTTTTCAAATCAATGTACATCAGAAGGGTAAAAACAGCAAAAGCCATACCTGACAAATGGAGCAAGGGAAAATCCCAATGGAAGACCTGGGATAAAAATAGCTTGAAAATTTCTGCATACAGCCAGCTATGAAAAATCTCTAATGCTAAAAACTCAACAAAAAAAATAAGCAGATAAAACTACTGAGGTTCAAATATGTCCACATAAAAGAACTTGGGTGTAAATGAGAAGCAATAAAAAAAAAAAACCCCAAAACAAACAAACACTGAACCTTGAATATTGCTCAGCTGCAGCAAACCCCGCTCAAGAACAGAGCAACTCGTCCTTATGCACAAAAGATATCTCCTCATTTAATATGTGCAGAGAACAAAATAAAAAAAATAATAATTTCCCCTCAAAACCGTACAGCCAAGAGAATCTGCCAAGGAAAGGGGACTTTGTGGTGGCTCTGCAATTACTCTGAGCTAATCCATGGACAGAGAAATCCTACAGAGCACCTCATTAAGATCCGTGTGATTTCTGGATCTTCCCAGCGCAAATCCGGGGACCACAAAACCATCCCCTGGAGGGGGAGAAAAGGAGAAAAGGGCCTTTTGTGTTTCCCTCCTGGCTCTTTGGGGCTCAATTCCAACGTAGCTGAGGTGGTATCACAGAAATCTAGGGCTGGGAGAGCCCGTGACCCAGCTCCCGATCCCTGCAGTGGGAACTCGCGGTGAGGTCAATCAGAGTGGGACAATTGCCTGCTCCCATTTACAGTCTGACAGCCCTGCAGGTGGGTGCCAAAACGCCTGTGCTGAGCACGTCCCTCATTAACTCTCTAAGACTCCTTAGGATCCCCTCGGTGCCAAGAGAATGGTACAGCAGGGACTTGGGAAAAGCCAAGAAGTTGACCTATGACTAAGAAAATAAAATTGCAGATGATATTCTTAGCCTTAATTAATCCAAGTTGATCATGCTGAACTGATTAAACTTTCCATCCAGTACAAAGAAATGTGGACTACACTAACTTAAAGAGCAAATTTATAACTGGTGCTGTGTTAGCAAAGTACCTAGTTACATGTATTCCAAAACTCTAAATTAAGAAATGACAGTGAAATACAAATAGGGTTACAAGAATATAGATGAACTTGAAAGACAAAGACAGCAAATGAATAAAGGTTTTATTTTAATAGGACTGACAAAACTTCACAAATTCCTCCTCCTCAAAACATTCACTCGTTCAGTCTATTAGAATATTAAATGTTTAACCTTCAAGATTCAGCTGACCTGTCTAAGTTTCTCACTAGGATGGCAAAATAAGGGTATTTATGTTAATTTACACAAATGGATGCATAGATTTTTCTGGGTTTTGTAGTTGTTTGGTTTTTGTTTTGTTTTGTTTTTGTTTTTTGTTTTGTTTTGTTTTCCTTAAATTACCCACTCTTAGTTAATCTAAAGAACTCTTGAAAATGCCTAGGGATGAGAGTCATGAGCTGCATTGCAAAAATGAGTAATTTAACAAAACTAAATAAGAACTTTGAATTTTTTCCCTAATATCAAAACCTATTTTGAGAAAGTTGTACACAAAACACAAAACACCCAATCTTCAAACAAGCGATCTGGTTACAGGTCTCCCATTTCCAGAAGTGCAGTACAAAATTCTAGCACTGAAGGGAGAATCAGGAACAATACAGGAGACCAGGGGGGTGTGAGGATGCCTCGCTTCCTCCTGTCAGGCACAGCCTTCCCGATGGACAGCAGGGAAATATGGAAGTCTCTTCTCCTTTCTTATCAAATACCAGCAGAATTGAGGGACCCTGGATGACATTTTCCATTTCCCTGCATCTCAGGGAAATCTCAGTTCTGCTTCACCACACAGTGATGTGAAAACCGACCCCACTCTCCACAGGTAGATACGTTTGGGGGACACTGTACAGCGTGCACTGCAAGTCTTTATTCCTGTGAACAGCCTATACCACAGAGCAAGCTGCATAATTATGTGATTGCAGACCACATCCAAAGTCATTCTTGCATTAATTGTAATGATACACATTGGATTAAAAACACAACACATCTGAATCACAAGAGCAGCTTTGAAATAGGGTAATATCCACTCATCTCGCCACGGAACATTATAATTCATCCTGTTATTTTTTTTCCCTTTTTGGCTTTGATAGCACAATATTTGCTCAGTAATAACACCACTTGACTTCAGTTTCAACTGGAATCTCGCCTGGCTAAAGAGTACAGGCATAATCTCAGCCTTTGTAGATTTATACACTGAGGCACAAAAGGATATATAAAACAGTTTAAACTTAAGTAAAGAATTTCAAACTCTGGCAGTTTTACTCTAAAGCAATTGCAGAAAACATACAATAGGCTATGTATGTAGTTTCAAGTAAATTGCTTTCATCAGCATAAGTGATCACTCAGAGAGTTTGAAAATTATAATTTTGGTTATTTAACAATTTCCTTTGGATTTCAATGAACTTAAGTGGCAGAGAAGAGTATTCTTCTCCCCTTTCCATTTTTTTAAAGACAGAGTACTATAATTTCCAGGAAATGAAAAATTCCCTTAAGTGCACGATGTTTCACTGCTGAAAAGTGGCAGAAAAATGCCATAACACTCTCCAAAGAAAAATGTCTAATAGGATCGACCAGTTGAAACACTACAGTCCTCCAGCAGAGACTCTCATTTAATTTTAACATTTAGAAACAATAGTTTCAAAGCTTATAGAGACTTAAAAGTTCAGGAGCAAAATGCCAGGCTGACTTCCACATCCCAAGCAGTAGTGCTTCAGTATTCCTTATCCACAGAGGAGAAAAGGAGAGCCAGGTGCACCAACTCATCTTACACTACAACTTCCCATAAATCCCTCGCCTAATCCTCGGGATTTATGCTGCTCTTTGAGTTGGGTAAAGG